TGCATGATGATTAGGAAAATTGAAACTAATCAATTGGATTATGTCATTGAATGTGACGGCGGAATTAACACATTGAATATGTGAATTGTTGGGTCATTGTATATGACTATGTGCTTAAATACATTGTATATGTATGTTGTTTGGGAAGAGATAGGGGATGTACTCCATTGTTTTGGAGGAGATAGGGGATGGACTCCATGGATAATTAAGTTGGTCGGAGTGTCCAGGGTGCAAGTCCCGAAACCTTTTATATATTTGGATGCCGATTCCCTCGGACGTAATTCCGTAAAATGGCATGCAAATAGAAGTGTTGAATGATGTTTACTATTGAATTGTTGATATATGAGTTGTAGTCTCATTTTGTTTACACTGTTTGGATAACGTTGGACTATGTTAATAAATTGATTTGGATACATAATGGAAAGGGAATTGTATATAGTGTAGCGATGATTTGTACAAAGATGATGTATATGGTTTACTAAGTGTTAAACATTTATCATATGCTAATGTTTTAGTTAATTCTCATATCCTGTTTAGCATATCTCTACTGGGCTTTGGCTCACCCTATTTGGGACACCATTTTTCAAGTACAGATGATATGTCACCTCTGAGGCCTTAACTTGTGAGGTTTAGGAGTTAAAGACTCTCTTTTTATTTATTTTATTTTGGTGTTACATGTATATCCAAGCCAATGGCTTTCTATGTATAGAGTGAGACTCTTCTTTTGTTGTAACCAAGTCATACTTGGCTTTCTATGCAAGTGTTCATTATATTGTCATAAGTTATGTTATGGATCTCAAATAAATTATCAAATTTTTTATTAAACATCTCACATGAGTGTGGGTCGTACACAAATTACATATGTATAAGACCAACACTCATATAAAAAATTTAATAATTTATTTAGAATACATAATATTTTTCGTTGTCATATCCCCGCTCCATTAAAAAATAAATAAAAATGTCAAGACAATCAGGTGACCGAATCTCGTGCAAATGATGGAGATAAGTGGATCAACACCTTATCTGGATAATGCCTATCTTACTCCACATAGTCATCAGATAAAGTGGCAGAGTTGTACCAAGAGATGAACGAGAGGTAATACTTGCACAGAAGGCACGACTCACACAAGTGAAATTCATGTGAAACCTGTCTGTGTGTGTGAATATAAATCGTGTTTCTCAATTTGTTTTATAAATCCTTTCTTGAGTAAAATTTTACGGAAAAACTTCCATGTATTATTACAAGCATAGTTCTTGTATGCAAATACACAATCATATCCTAGCTTTGCCAAATTTCTATTCGAGTAAGTATTAGAATATGATCTGGCCATTGTATTATTTTTATTACAGTTATCAAAGATGTTAAAATTTATTTTTCAAGTTTAATAATATGACAATCAATTAAGATATTTAAAACAATACTCTTTCTTATGTTTTTTCTAATTATATCACTTACACTTTATTAAATTTATAAAATTAATTTAAAAAATAAATTTATATATCATTTTAGTAAAAAAATTTATGATCATCCACCTCGTTAAAGCAACACTCAAAAGGGGCCAGATTAATCTTTTTTTTTATTTTTCTTCCTACTTTTTATATGGTGAGAGGATTTGAACCAGATTGAGATCATGACGATTTCTGCTATGTGACTCAGTACAGAATCATAGACACAATTTCTTGATTGCTTCTTTAATAAAGGAGTGGACGAGCGCATATTGCTTAACAAATCAGTATCATAAGTGTCCAAAAAGTTAATAATATACTTTTTTAAGAGGTTGATGGATGGAGATGTCAAAATAGGGATTGGAGCTGGTGCATTTAAGGGGGCACCATCACATGGGTGTTAGTTCATTTCATTCACCACTCAATTATAATTATGAAGAATAAAGAATTCATTTCCAACCAAACATATAGTGTAAAAACCAAACCCCACCCAACATGTTTTGGTGTCACCATGTGCCCCAAATTGTGGGTTTTTTTTTTTTAAATATTATTATTATTATTATGAAATAAATATATGAATTAGATCATACATCACGCAACAATAAAATATGAATTCAAATATTACATTTTGTAAGGAAGTATCTCATTCACTTGACTAAATTTTAGTGTTTTTGTTAAAATGATGCATTGGATCGTTAGGAGTAATATTTAATGATAGCATAATTACTTGACTCGATTATATTTGACCACACTCAATTCTAATAAAAAATATTTGAGAGAACATTTTATAAAGAATGATTGAGTATAGGGATAAGTATGTCAAAACCATTAGAGTAAACAAAAAATACGAAATTGTTTCACTTGTACAGTTTTAAATTAAGAATTTGTGCGTAAAATTCAAAAAAATTTGACCCATTGCCATAATCTCAAATTTTTAAAAACTAGACTCTTTAATGTATTCCATTTCAACAAGAAATCAAAAAAATTAAAAAATGAGAGTTTCTATTCTCAAGAAAAGGAAGCGACTTAAGGCCCCGTTTGTTTGGAGAGTTAGAGGGGGATTGGGATTGGTAGTGAGGTGTGACCCATTAATATTGTGTTTATTTTAAGAGATGAGAAGTGGATCGATAGTGAGCTCCGGATTAGGATGGGCCTTCCCAAGGAGATTCGAATGGGCCTCCAGGACTTGGTATTAGAAAAATAGTCCGGCAAACTAGAAATTTTTTATTTTTATTTTATTTTTTACATGTCGGGCATTTTTTTTAACATTAATATTTAATTTTTTATATTTTTTTAAGTAAAAATCATTTTTTTTTATTTTTTTTATTTTTTTCTGAAATTTTTTTATTTTATTTTTTTTAAACATTAATGTTTAATGTTTTTGTATTTTTTTATTTGTTTTATTATTTTATATTTATTTTATATAAAAATAATTTAACAATCCCTATACTAGAAACTATCATCAAAACAAACACAATTTTACTTAATCTCCTCATTATCAATCTCCTCACTAACAATCCCCTCACTATCAATCCTCTCCATTCTATCTCTGAAAACAAACGGGCCTAAAAGTTGTTTATTTAATAAAATAAATAATTTTACATTGAATATAGCCCCTCCAAGCAAGATAAATATATGAGAATTTTGAGCCTTTGACCTCAAGGTTGAGGTATCCACTTTTATGGCTGCAAATTTCCTAATTAACCTAAAGAAAGTTCAAAGTATAATGAGATATGTTTTGACAGAGCAAAACCCACTTAAATTATCAATCAATGTGTAGCGTAATTGAGACCTAATGATGTTTATAGTATTATAATAATACACCATCCAACTAAAGGTTATCATTTGGCATATTGAAATCAAAAGCTCTAGAAAAAATTCTATTGCTTCAAATTTTATTATCCTATGTAGGAGGGGAATCCATTACCATGATCTACAAAAGGCCTCTATAAAGGGATAAATTATTTAATAATTTCAAAATATTACGTCATCATATTTTAAGTCAATCATCAATTATTTAGTTCCTATATTGTTTTTCATCTTCAACATAAATCGTGGACTCCTATCTCTCTCTACAAATCAAAACTTTATGAAGCACCATATGTCTATATTTCAGAAATACCGAATAATCACCCTCACAAAAAGCCTATCTATCATTAATTAAATAGAAAATTTAGAATAATTAAAACAAATGTGAAAGTAATTGTAAAAATATAAAAGTGTAATTGAGTTTATATTTTTGCTTAAGTGAAAACTATATCGTTACTCATATCAGAACACATATTATACATATACTTTTATAATTTTACAATTAATTTTTGATAATATTTGATTTATTGAAATTATTTTAGATAAGAATAAAATGATTATTTATTAATCTCCCAATAAAAGAATCGTTTTCTTAAAATGAAGAATGATTATTCTATTTTCAACTTAAATTTCTTTTCCAATCAAACATGAGAGTAGATATACCGATTCAAAACTTCATTATATTCTAATATCATTTTATTAAATCAAACACTACACGAAATCTTTTGACAGAGTTTCGAATCCCCACGTCCACATAAATGGGTTCTCCCCTAACCTATCCATTGAGGCAACTACAAGTCAAACTGGACTACTTCCCAAAATCCGAACTTCATTTGGTATTTTATCCAAACTAAATCTTGGGAAGATATTGTTGTCTGTTCTTTTGTCCTACCTCCTTTGGGTGATACGTTGTGCACTAATTCTTTTAAGACTTTTGCTTAGCTGGAAAGCCACATGTTGCTACTTGGTACCTTAACTGGACAAGTGGATATTTATTTATTCGACAATGTTGGAGGGTAATAATTTTTGTAATTATAATAGTTTAAAACTGTTAAAATGACATCGTTTTTAGTGCAAAACATGCTAAAACGATGTCGTTTTGATAATTTTGAGCCATTATGACTATAAAAATTATGACCCTCAATCATTTTCCTTATTTATTTTTATGGGGTAAAAGTAAATATTTATTTACACTTACAAATTCCAATCTTTCTCTCACTCACTCAAAGAAGTGTCATGTCCATGTATATATACCTACAAACACATTTAATTATTATTTTATTTTAACGATTAGAATGTCTCCTATTCATGATGACTTGGAATCATTGTTTATGATTATCAATTTGATTCAGTTTTTTAATAGTAAATGATATAAAAATTTATTTTTAATTAAAACATAATAACGTGTAAAATAAATAATTAATTATTTATTGAAAAAGTTATAAAAAAAAATTATCTTATATATTTTAATAAATTATCATATCATTAAATTTAAAAAATAAATTTTACTCTGTATTAAAATAGCACTATATATATATATATATATACACATATATGAATGATATCTAAGACAATGAAATACAAACAAAATGAAGGAACCAAGTAATCAAATACCGACCTTTAATTTTGTTTCTTTTCTTTATTATTTATAGGTGGACAAGATTGGTGGGTCCATTATGGGAAGCTGTCCTATTGGGGACGTACCATGTGAATTTCCCTTGCCTATATAAAGCCATTCTTGTTTTGAGAAGATCATTGTGCTTTTTCTCAAGTCTTTGCATTGCCTTAAAACCTTCCCTTCCCTTCTCTTCCTTTTTAAGTTTTCTTTCTCATTTCTCCAAATTTTCTGCTCAAACCATGGTTGTCTCAGTTGTGACCGAAAACTGGGCCTCCATCAATAGTGATGCTGATGAGTTTGAAAAATTCGAAATCCCAGAAATTGACAGTGCCCTCCTCATGTCGCTACTCGAAGAATCGCAAGCCGATCAAGATTGTGATGATGATGATGAGAGATTAATGACTGTGATTAGATCACTAGAAGCTGAAATTGATCCTAATGTAATGGATGGTCATGATTTGGACATGGACATTGAGTGGGACAGCAACTTGGAGGGAGGTCGATCGACGGGACAAGTGGAGGCCCAGGATTGGCCCACCTCAAAAAGTGATCAACTTGCTTTCAATTGGATGGAGGATGTGGAGATGGGCCCTTCTTCACCAAGTGATGACATGGCCATTTGGTACATGGAGGAGCCCTATGGAGTTGAAATGGATGGTGTGATTGAAGTTGGTGGTGTAGGTGATTATTCACACATTTACTATGGTGTTCCCTTGGAAGAGCATGCCTATGGTTCTTTGTGGCAAGAAACACATGCCTCAGTGATGTATGATTAGGATTTCATAATGTATATTTTTAACTTTTTTTTTTTTTTTTCGAAGGGTAAAGCCATGTAATCCACAGATTGACCATTTGTGTCTTAAATGCTTTGTTAAATTACACCATGTTGGCTTGTAGACTATTTTTCTTTGTGAGCAATGTTAGAGGCGTTTGAAATATTATTTTTAAATTCATTCATATTGATTTTATAAAGGATTGAATCTTAGTCTTCTTCGTTTGGCATGTGAGTTTGAGAGGTTTTCTTTTTTATTATTTTAATTACAAAAAAATAAAATAACTGAAAAATTCAATAAAATAAAGTATCATATTCAAATAGTATCATATTCAAATCGTAATTATTTTAATTTTTCTCTCACATTATTCACACATTTACTATGGTGTTCCCTTGGAAGAGCATGCCTATGGTTCTTTGTGGCAAGAAACACATGCCTCAGTGATGTATGATTAGGATTTCATAATGTATATTTTTAACTTTTTTTTTTTTTTTTCGAAGGGTAAAGCCATGTAATCCACAGATTGACCATTTGTGTCTTAAATGCTTTGTTAATTACACCATGTTGGCTTGTAGACTATTTTTCTTTGTGAGCAATGTTAGAGGCGTTTGAAATATTATTTATTTTTAAATTCATTCATATTGATTTTATAAAGGATTGAATCTTACTCTTTTTCGTTTGGCATGTGAGTTTGAGAGGTTTTTTTTTATTATTATTATTTTAATTACAAAAAGATACAATAGACTAAAAATTTAATAAGATAAAATATCACATTCAAATCGTAATTATTTTAATTTTTCTCTCACAAAAATCAGAAAAATTAAAAAAACTCATTCAAAATGAGCGTTTTAAACCATAAACTAAAATAGTCAAAAAATTAAAAAATCAACTAATATTCCAAACGAAGCCTTAATTAGCTATAAGTACCAAATAGTCCTTTATCTCAATTTTTTTTTTTTTTTTTGGTTTAGCACCACAAAAAATATTGAGGTGTGGATTGAAAAATCAAAAGAAATTCAAATCGTACACGATTTCAATTTCGTAAACAATAAACTCATTCAAAGATTAGTCTTGACTTTTCAAGGTCGAAAACTGAGAGATTTTATTTACTCTTTTAAGGCTGACACCCAATGAAGGCATAGAATTGCCTAGATTTTCACACCAGAAGAGTTTCTGTCTTCCATGCGAAATTATAACAATGCTAAAATTTGACAAGTGCTTATATATATTTATCTCATTTATATTTAACTTTTTGTGGGAGGGAAAAAAGAAAAAGAAAAATTGAAATTTGCACTACTGGAGTAATATTGTCATCTAATGCATCTTAGTAACATGTCAAAAATTTGACTTGGCTTTGGGTTTAATAATTTGCCATTTTGACACCAACCATTAGAGATACTCGCCAAACCTTGCTTAGTTTCTCTACTCACTGCTAGACGAAGGTTTTTTTTTTTTTTGGTTTTTTTTTGTTTGTTGAGTAAATTATAAATACATCAATTGATATTGGTTTAAAATACAGATTATTTTCTGTGATTTGAAAAATTATAATGAACTAAAAAAATGAAATTTATAATTGCTCTACTATACAACAATAAAATTACTTAAATTAGTAATTGAAACATATTTCTAACATCATTAAAACCTGTTAATTGATTTGATAATTTATTAATAAAATGAGTGATTTGTTACGAAATTGAAAACCTCAAGAGGTGAAATACAATTTTTAGAATCATAAGGAATAATTCATATTTTAATCAAACTTTAAGTGATGTATTTGTAATTTATCCCTTCTTTTTTTTTTAATTAGGGCAAAACCACATTGCTATTAATTTTATATTGTTGAAAAAATTATTACAGACACGAAAAATGAGATTTATAAAAAGTTTTTTTTCTTGATAATTCAGGATGTCTCGCTTCCAGCCCATCCAATTAAAGTAATCTCGTAACTGCGCAGCAGATAACATATTATATTTTTAGGTTCTGCTTGTTTTGATGTAAAATATTTTATATCAAAAAATACTTTTTTTGTAAATTGATTTTATACAAAAAAAAATTGTTTATGTTTTTGTTTTTGTTTTTATTTTTCGGTGTTTAGTTGACACTTAAAACAAAAATATTTTATTGCATAAAAACAAAAATTGATTTAATAAAGTGTCATTTATGACTTTTTAATGAGTTAAAATACTTATTTGAAAAGGTTAAATATGTTAATAATGAAGTGAGTGAGAGTTAAATTTACAAAAATTAACTTACGAAAATTTTAAAAGTAAGCATTTGTGAGGAAATGATACAAAAATATTTTTAAAAAAATATATTTTCTTACTTTTTGTTCAACCAAATAATAAAAAATGAAGAATAAAAATATTTTATGTCAAAATAAACGAAATCTTAGTGAAAATATTTTACCATCAGTATATGTCCCAAAATAAAAATAGTGTACAATGCAGAATAGTGACAATAAGCTATTTACAAACAAATCAACTGCACAATCCAGCACCTTATGAGGATCTTCCACAAATTTCTCCAAAGCAATCCATCTATACACCTGCCACCGGAGGTGGTGGCCTGGAGAAAATAGTTCTTTGTACAGGAGTGACTCAAGTTTGAATTTCGGGAGTGTAAAAAATGGTTGATTTTTCAACTGACTCTTTTTGAAATTTCATGTTGCATTCCAATCGATTTTGGACTGTTTTGTGACGTGTGTCTTAACTCTATTGGTCCCTCAATAGTAAATTCCTTCCTATATGTTAGATTAAATATGGCCGGTAACGGACTAGGGGTCAAGATCCACCGATACAATCACGATATCGGAACATGTCTTTTTACCAAAAAAAAAAAAAACAAAAAAAAAATGAGGGTAAATTACACTGACACCCCTTGAGGTTTATATTTATTACAATTCCCCCCTTACGTTTTGGAAATTACATCTCCCTCCTTGAAGTTTAAAGTTTCATTATAAATTCCTCCCTCAGCAATTTAATTTTTTTAAATACTAATTTTGTCCTCACTAGGTAAATTACATTGACACCCCTCACATTTTAGAAATTACAATCCCCCCCTAAGGTTTAAAGTAGCATTACCAATTGTCCTCTCGGTTAGTATTAGTTAGAAAAAAAATTCATTGAAAAAAAAAATTGTTAGTAAAATTTTTAAATTTCTGATTAAAAACCAACATAAACTCATTTTTTAAATTTATGTTTTTTTCTCAAATTTACAAACTGAGACAACCATTTATAAACCAAAAAAAATTATCAAACAAGTTTTTATGTCAGTTTTTAAAATTTTTGTAAATATAAATTGAAAATTGAAAACGAAATGGTTACCAAACAGGCTTCAGATGGTAAAAATATAGTAAAATTAACAAATAATTAAATAAGTTACTAATGTAAGAAATGACTATCAAAAGATTCTTAGGTTATGTATGGTTTGATTTTTAGAAATTTTTTTAAAAAAATTAAAAATTAATTTGGTTAAGAAATAAAAAATAATTATCATTTTTATATAATTTTTATCTTTCGAGTGGTAAGAAATAATTTTTTACAAATTAAATTGAAATCGTCATACGTATGTATATAACCTGTCCAAAAGTTAAAATGATAATTATTTTTTATTTTTTATTTCCTAACCAAATTAATTTTTATTTTTTTAAAAAAAATTTCTAAAAATCAAACCATACATAGCCTAAGAATCTTTTGATAAGTCATTTCTTACGTTGGTAACTTATTCAATTATTTGTTATTTTTACGACATTTTTACCATCTGAAGCGTCAAAAATTTGACTTGGCTTTGGGTTTAATAATTTGCCATTTTGACACCAACCATTAGAGATACTCGCCAAACCTTGCTTAGTTTCTCTACTCACTGCTAGACGAAGGTTTTTTTTTTTTTTGGTTTTTTTTTGTTTGTTGAGTAAATTATAAATACATCAATTGATATTGGTTTAAAATACAGATTATTTTCTGTGATTTGAAAAATTATAATGAACTAAAAAAATGAAATTTATAATTGCTCTACTATACAACAATAAAATTACTTAAATTAGTAATTGAAACATATTTCTAACATCATTAAAACCTGTTAATTGATTTGATAATTTATTAATAAAATGAGTGATTTGTTACGAAATTGAAAACCTCAAGAGGTGAAATACAATTTTTAGAATCATAAGGAATAATTCATATTTTAATCAAACTTTAAGTGATGTATTTGTAATTTATCCCTTCTTTTTTTTTTAATTAGGGCAAAACCACATTGCTATTAATTTTATATTGTTGAAAAAATTATTACAGACGCGAAAAATGAGATTTATAAAAAGTTTTTTTTCTTGATAATTCAGGATGTCTCGCTTCCAGCCCGTCCAATTAAATTAATCTCGTAACTACGCAGCAGATAACATATTATATTTTTAGATTCTGTTTGTTTTGATGTAAAATATTTTATATCAAAAATTACTTTTTTTGTAAATTGATTTTATACAAAAAAAAATTGTTTATGTTTTTGTTTTTGTTTTTATTTTTCGGTGTTTAGTTGACACTTAAAACAAAAATATTTTATTGCATAAAAACAAAAATTGATTTAATAAAGTGTCATTTATGACTTTTTAATGAGTTAAAATACTTATTTGAAAAGGTTAAATATGTTAATAATGAAGTGAGTGAGAGTTAAATTTACAAAAATTAACTTACGAAAATTTTAAAAGTAAGCATTTGTGAGGAAATGATACAAAAATATTTTTAAAAAAATATATTTTCTTACTTTTTGTTCAACCAAATAATAGAAAATGAAGAAAAATAATTTTGATAAAAAGATTTTATGTCAAAATAAACGAAATCTTAGTGAAAATATTTTACCATCAGTATATGTCCCAAAATAAAAATAGTGTACAATGCAGAATAGTGACAATAAGCTATTTACAAACAAATCAACTGCACAATCCAGCACCTTATGAGGATCTTCCACAAATTTCTCCAAAGCAATCCATCTATACACCTGCCACCGGAGGTGGTGGCCTGGAGAAAATAGTTCTTTGTACAGGAGTGACTCAAGTTTGAATTTTGGGAGTGTAAAAAATGGTTGATTTTTCAACTGTCTCTCTTTGAAATTTCATGTTGTATTCCAATCGATTTTGGACTGTTTTGTGACGTGTGTCTGAATTCCATTGGTCCCTCAATGGTTAATCCTTCCTATATTAGATTAAATATGGGCGGTAACGGACTAGGGGTCAAGATCCACCGATACAATCACGATATCGCGGAACATGTCTTTTTACCAAAAAAAAAAAAGAAAAAAAAAGAGGGTAAATTATACTGACACCCCTTGAGGTTTATATTTATTACAGTTCTCCCCTTACATTTTGAAAATTACATCTCCCTCCCTGAGGTTTAAAGTTTTATTATAAATCTCTCCCTCAGCAATTTAATTTTTTTAAATACGAATTTTGCCCTCACTAGGTAAATTACATTGACACCCCTCACATTTTAGAAATTACAATCCCCTCCCTAAGGTTTAAAGCAGCATTACTAATTGTCCTCTCGGTTAGTATTAGTTGAAAAAAAAAATTTATTGAAAAAAAAATTTGTTAGTAAAATTTTTAATTTTTGATTAAAAACCAACGTAAACTCATTTTTTAAATTTATGTTTTTTCCTCAAATTTACAAACTGAGACAACCATTTATAAACCAAAAAAATTATCAAACAAGTTTTTATGGCAATTTTTAAAATTTTTGTAAATATAAATTGAAAATTGAAAACGAAATGGTTACCAAACAGGCTTCAGATGGTAAAAATGTAGTAAAATTAACAAATAATTAAATAAGTTACTAACGTAAGAAATGACTATCAAAAGATTCTTAGGTTATGTATGGTTTGATTTTTAGATTTTTTTTTTTAAACTTAAAAATTAATTTAGTTAAGAAATAAAAAATAATTATCATTTTTATATAATTTTTATCTTTCGAGTGGTTAGAAATATTTTTTTACAAATTACATTGAAACAGTTACACGTATGTATATAACCTGTCCAAAAGTTAAAATGATAATTATTTTTTATTTTTTATTTCTTAACCAAATTAATTTTTATTTTTTAAAAAAAAATTTCTAAAAATCAAACCATACATAGTCTAAGAATCTTTTGATAAGTCATTTCTTACGTTGGTAACTTATTCAATTATTTGTTAATTTTACGACGTTTTTACCATCTAAAGCCTGTTTGGTAACTATTTTGTTTTCAGTTTTCAATTTATATTTACAAAAATTTAAAAACTGTCATAAAAACTTGTTTGATAATTTTTTTTAGTTTATAAATGGTTGTCTCAGTTTGTAAATTTGAGAAAAAAACGTAAATTCAAAAAATGAGTGTACGTTGGTTTTTAAACAGAACTTTAAAAAATTTACTAACAAATTTTTTTTTCAATTAATTTTTTTCAATGAATTTTTATTCCAACTAATACTAACCGAAGGAGCAATTGGTAATGTTACTTTAAACCTTAGGGAGGAGATTGTAATTCCTAAAATATGAGGGGTGTCAATGTAATTTATCCAGTGAGGACAAAATTGATATTTAAAAAAATTAAATTACTGAAGAAAGAATCTGTAATGAAACTTTAAACTTTAGGGAGGAAGATGTAATTTTCAAAACGTGAAGAAAGAACTGTAATAATAAACATAGACATCAGGGTGTCAGTGTAATTTACTCAAAAAAAAAAAAAACAAAAACCTATCTATAGTCCCACATGTAGCTACCCTTTTATGGAGTCACATACATGGAACACTCACAACTCGTTAAAGATTACAAACTTAATTATATCTTTTGCTTAATGGAGACAAAAGTTTCAACTTTTTGTCAAGTTATATCAAGTGACAAAATGGTGATTTTTTTAATGTCAAGTGGACCTATATATAATTTTATATCACTCCCAATTCAAAAATTTCAGTCTCTTGAAATAATTTCGTTCTGTACAGCGTTTATGAGATGTTTATAATTTATTTTTTTCTTTTTAAAAAAAAAAATAATTTAAAGAATTTATATGAGTGCAACTTTTACTTATAACACAATAATGACATACAAATAAGTTGACAAAGTGCTTGCGTTTAGATTATAAGCTTGTAACTTATCAATATTATAAGCTTGTAACTTATCAATATTGCATCAAATGGGGTTTATCTCTCGTAGTAAATAGTATAAAATAAAGAAAGAAATAAGAAATTAAGGTCAGTGGCAGCCTGTCGAGGTGAGAACAAGCATAGTGGTGTGGCTAGACTTCTTTAGTGCAGATCATGTTTTCTTTCTTTATATATATGATATGATTTTTTTCAAGTGGGAATATTATTAAACTAACAATAGGGCTTATATAGTGGCATGCAGAGAATCATGGAATTTAACAAAAAAATATTTATTTTTCTTATTTTATTTTATTTTATTTGTCGAAGAATGAGTGCCTTAGCATTAGCACCTTTCTTAAATAGATTAGAATCAAAGATTATATTAGTGGGTTATTTATTCACCACTTATAAGAGATCAAAAAAAATTAAAAAAAGGCAATTTCAGATCTAATTCCACAACTCCCAAACAGGTTGTGGGTATCACCATGTGTACGTGGGTTGGATATTTGGTCAATGATATGGGTTACAGCATCCCCATTATTTTTTTAAAATTTTATTTTAGGTGCAAAGCATCACAATTATTCAATATGAGAGAACAAGTCGGTCATTCAATCTCTTTAATTTAATTTTCATGTACCTTCATTACATAGCTGCCTAGTGTGTTATATAAGACACATAATAAAAAAATAATCAACTAATGTTAAAGTCTACCACATTAGAACTAATTTAATTGGTCAGAATCTTTAGAAGTTCAATTATTCCTTTCTTAAGATCAAGGTCTAAAAACAATAATACTACATTTATCTTATATTTATATCATATTTTAAATATCATTTCATCTCACACAATCACAATCATTAACACAAGCCTAGCTTTCTTGGGTAAATAGACTTCAGTGATAATCATTAACACAAGTCTAGCTTTTATGGGTAAATAGACTTTACTTATATAAAAATAAAGCTAAAGGAAAAGCCTTTCAACAGAAAAGACCTATGATTCCAACAAGATCATATAGTCAAATCCCTTGTTCTTTTCTAATTTGTATTGTTTAACAATAATGGAGGAATCTAATTATTGTTTGATAGATGATTCTTTTATTTACCAGTCAAGAGTGTATGAGATTTGGGATGCTTCATTATAGGGTCAAAATAGGCATCGACAAAAAAAATAAAAAAAAAAAAGTGAACAAAATCGAACTTCTGCCATATGTTTCATTTATGTATTACCATGACTTAGTTCCCCATCAGCATTCCATTTGTTTCAATATTAAACCCCTTATATTATTGCATGATCCTACCTAGTCGGTTGGACCAATACAATATTGATCAAATCAAGAAAATAAAATATATTTCACACTAAATGTCTAGGTGTAGAATGTGTGCTACCCTCTTTCATCAATAATTCTACATACTCAAAAATTAACTGAAAAAATGCACAAGATGCTCACATATGTTCTATTATATAGAGCTAACACCTATGTTGGCGTTTCATACTTATCATTATATTTTGCAAACAAGATTTACAAAAAAAATTAACACTGTTCTGAGCTTATTTGGAATTACATTTTCGCCAACATGACTATATATACACACAAATCATCACATACACACCTTTGGATGTAACATGATCACCAAATCTAGTATTAGAATTCCTGCCTAAAAACAAACAATACAATCAACATGGATCTAGATTGAGCAACATACCTGACCTTCAATCTAACTTGATTCTGCAAACTTGAACCATCTAAATTTTGATTTTCTGCGTGAAAAAAATTCTCTTTTATCTACTTCCTAATTTTCCTCAGAATTCTTGGGGTCTGATGACTCCTTGACCAATCCATCATCATTTTGTTCGGATTTGGTTGAAGGTTTACCACCCATCATCTGGAGATCGTCAAGGCTGGCTTTGTTTATCAGGTCCTCAACGTTCATTGAAGAGCCATTTACAGTTGTTTGACCATTAACTTCTTCGGATTTATAAGAATCATCAAGTGTGGGTTCGGAAACAATCGGAATCTCCTGAGTTACAGAGTTACAAACTGGTGATGGAAGAGATTCCTCATCAGAAAGCTCTGATCCCTCAGGAATATCTTTCTCAGCCACCACTGATCTTGAATCACCTCGCATTTTTTTTGACCCTTTACGAGAAAATGATTGCCTGAAACCACGAGCAGATTTTCCAGCTTGCTTTAAAATGCTCTTCGCCATATCTTTGGCAGGTGTCCTGCTGGGGCTTTCCTGGCCAACTCCCTCGGGAATTTCTGTAACTTCTGCTTTTGGAACCTCAATAGGAGGTACTACGGGTGATGGAGCAGAGATGTCCTCCACAATTAACTCCACGCCAATCTTCTTTGTATTGACTTCCTTAAGGTTAACATTTGGAGATCGGTCAGGCTCTTCAATCTTGCTCGATATATCCTCCTCCTTTCTGGAATTACTGCGGAATATTGAACCGATCTTGTGTAGACCCCTCATCACTCTGTTCCGTGTATGCCCTTTATTATCTTCCTGGCTGTCATCAGTGCTGCTACTGTTGTTATTATTGGGCCCAGAAACTGATGATTTGAAACTTTCAATATGATCGCTACCCTCCCCGCGAATTTGTCCATCGAGGAGCCTAGTCCGCCCTTTTCTAGGCTCCCATATTTGTGAAACTTCACTTCCTGGGTGATAGACCCATATCCCAGTCTCTTTTTGTCCTTCAATATCAATAGGTTCAAATTTATCTGACACTTTTGAAGACTTCTCTGACAATCCAGATGAAAGACAACCAGCCTGAGCAGTCTCATTTGGAATGGAATTTCTTTCATTATCGTCCTTCAATATTTCACCATCACATGACTGATCTTGCCCCTGCACATAATTGTTTCATGGTTAGATCAAAATTCCAGCATTCCTAGTAAGCATTCAATTGTGTCACACGCAACAATTATGATCTGTCTGTGTTTCTTGTAAAATTTGAAATGAGTAAATTCCTTTGGCTCCATTAGGTTAGGCTACAATAAATATTTCAAAGTGAAATTAGAAGAAAGTAAAGTGAAAAAAACAAAGCAACTTTTCAACATGCATTTGGTTGAGCAGAGTTTTTTGTTTTTCGTAGAAAGTTACAAGAGAACATGTAAGGTAAGTTGCAGTAAAATAGACTGGGTAGAAAAAGAATCCCAATAAAGATAACGACTTTCGTGGGAAAGTAATAAGCTCCTGTTTTTTGCAGGAAATGACAAGACATGTTTCCAAGAAAATCTAGTCATTGTAAGGTTCCTACTTTCTTGAATATGTTTCCCTTCGGCAAACCGAACTCCAAGACATTTTTTTTTCTTCTTTGCTTTACTTTCTAGGACTCTCCACTTAACCAACAGAGCCTTGGGAATAAATTGGGCCTTGGGAATAAAAGGTTAGATTTAAGGATTTCATAAGAGATATTTCAATTTCATCAATTGCGGTTTTGGCTCCAACATGAGAAATTGACCTGCGCCTTCAAAATTCCATGAAAAATGAAATGGCTCAAATGATTTTTCTCAAGGCGCCTAAGCATTTCCTTTCTAATTCAGTAAAACTTCATGGAGAGAAAAGGAAAAAAGAAAAAAAAAAAAAAAGGCGGTACCTTTTTGTTGCCCTCAACTACAGTAATGGCAAGATGTAATCGCCCCATTTTAACGTTCTGAAGAGGTAACCACATGTCATGTCTCTGACCATCCTTATGTTCGCCAATGGTTATAGAACAACATCTGTGAAAGAATAGAGAGTTGGCCATCAAATAAAATTTTGCAGAATAATAACTATTTACAACTGCATACATTCAAATAAGGTGTTGCAGCATGGATACACACATTAAGATTCACTAATTATCAGCTTAGGTTGTTAGGAAACGGGTCCAACAATATATATCAAGCTATTCAACACCCTCCTTCATCTGCAACCCTGTCTTGCACGTGAAGAGCATCCATACATAGAGAGAAGAAAGAATGCAAATGACAAAAGAAAAAATGCAGACAGGACCAAATGGAAAGAATCCAAGACCTCTGCCAACTGGAGCTCAGATTCCATGTTAAGTCACCAATATCCTAAAAACTTAAGTTGTTAGGAAATGGGCCCAACAATGTGTATCAAGTTAATCAACAAAGGTAAAATCCGAAACCCACAATTTAATGTAGCACCAAAAGTCATTCAGTATGAAAGCAATATGTAATCCCATACTTTGGTATATGTATGAAACATGTCTCAAATGAAAACAGTTTGCAAGGTGTTAGGACATTGAGCACCATGCCGCTTACACCTCACAAACTAAAAGGCAATATACTCAAATTCCTCCACATCTTCAAATTTTTATGTGAAATAGATGCTCAAATATAGAAGTTCAACCCTAGGGCCTAGACATAGCAAATAGGAAATTTTGAATAGCCACTAAAGGGTGTTAGGACACCTCTGCCTAAAGGCCTACGCATGATAGAGTTTAAGCCTGTAACATTTTGCTAAAGCTCAGAAACATCCCATTGTTTTATGTACATGCATGAGAGAGAGAGAAAGAGAGATTTATTCTGAACAGAAACAACCGAAGCATAAACAATTTTGTGGGGGTTTGTTGTTATTTTTAAACAATCAGGGGATAGATACTTGCTAGTATGAACAAACATAAAAGAAAAAGGAATGTAAAATGGAGAATGCATGTGTGTATATATATAACTTCTATTGGAGCAAAGAAAAGACAATATATATATAATAATAATAGTAATAAGTGCATTTTTTATGACGTTACCCGAGGTTATCATCGTGAATATGGTCTTTGTCATGAACTTCAATAGTTAGCACATTAGGTGACTCCCATGTATAAATGGGGACCTTAAATTCCTCCCGCCACTTTGGAGCCAGTGTTTTCCTCTGCGTATCAGTCCTCAATCCATAAGGACCAAGTTTTACATATGGATCAGCCAATCCTGAAAAACAGTTCCAGACTTCCAGTTATTATGCATATACTTGGAATATTCGCTATGGTTTAAAAAGGTAACTATTGTAGCTTAAACCAACCATTTAAATCTGAAGGCTTGAGGTCAGCTGCTTCAATAACTTCCACCAAGGCATAAGCAACAACTGGCTCCTCCTCATACACAGAGGACGGGTTTTCTAACATATGAAATCCATATAATTTAAAGATTAGAAAACATTCAAGCATCTAGAAAAGGAAGAAATGACAGCATAGAATTATCAAACTCATGTAATAAGCTACAACAACACCAGAACGTTCAAATTTCAGAGAAACTTGTACAACTAAAGTAATTTGTTGCAATAGAAGAAGAAACTATGAACTATGCTCATCGAACCCCAAAAAAAGGAGAGAGAGAGAGAGAGAGAAGAATACCAAGATCTATCCTTTTCTGAAATCATATAGCAATGGTATGTTTCACTAATAAGTTTTTTTCTCTAGCAGCTTAACAAATCACTTAATAAGAAGGCTTATTTACTGCAGTTAAAATCCAGCAGCCAAAAAAACAAAACAACAACAACAAAAAAGAAGAAGCAACGCAGTGCACGAGGCTTCTGCTAAAGCGAGGCATGGGGATGACAACATATACCAACCTTACCCCCATTTCTGGAGAGGCTGTTTTTGTGACTTGAACCCACTAGGGACACTAACAGCGCGCTACCATTGGGCCAAGCCACACCCTTCCAAAAAAAAAAAAGTCATAATTTGAGAATTGAACATCCCCCTAAAAATGTTTGAAGGTCAAATGAATACACCACATTAGGGGTGTTCGCGGATCGGTTTTATGCGGTTTGCAGTTCGGTTTTGACCCGCCCGCATCTATGCGGTTTGGAAAAAAGTCAACCCGCAACCGCCTACAGTTCAGTTTGTGATTTGTGCGAATAGGGTTTGCAGATGTGCGGGCAGTTGCGAGCAGTTTGCGGTTTACACTTTTTTCTTTAAAAGTTAATTTTTGAGTTACTTTTTTCTTTAAAAGTTAATTTTTGAGTTTTTTTTTTTTTTTTTTTTTCCATCGAATTTAGGCATCAGATTCATTTTATATATTTGTGATCATTTGACAACAATTTTTTGATGAGTTTACAAATAAAAATTGAATATCAATGCATTAAATGAAAGTACCCAAAACAAAGAGACCCTACACTAGCATTTTTGCCATGAAGTGCCTTGCATATATTGTCCGCTTTGGCATTCCGACCGCACGGTTTTGTTCCTCCCCCACTGGGGAGAAAAGGCCTATGCAAGGTAAGAGGAGCCAGCCTGCTTATAAGGTGGGAAAGTAGTCCCTCACAGACCGATGTGGGATTTCCCGCACATATATCAATGCATTAAAAAATGTATATCAATGCATTAAAGGTTGTACTCAATTAGAATTGTCAGTTCAGTAATCAATAATCAAACTAGAAGCTCCATTGACCACCAGAAGGAAAATTTTATTAGAAAAAAGTGGATGCGTCACCAATGAAAATCATACAAGAAACCAAGTTTAGGACTTGATAATTCTACGGCATTAAGAAAGTTGAGAAATACTTAAAAATAAGGATCCTGGTGTCAGAGAGAACATAATGGTGCTCCTGTTAAAGTTACAAAGTTGGTATAATAATAATAATAATAATAATAGTGCGGGCGGTTTTTGCGGGTTTAACCCGCGACCCGCAAATTTGTCATCTTTCAAACCGCATCCGCCCGCATTATGTTTGCGAAACTGCCCATTTATATGCGGGTTAGGCGGGTTAGGTGGTTTGGATAAACCGTTGCCCACCCCTACACCACATTATCTGAACCAAAAAAAAAAACCAATTAATTAATAAAAATGCCATATACAGCCCTCCTAACAGAGATATTCTTTCAGCATGGTCATATGAAGTAAACTGATTTTCACAATCTGAATGTCGTCCATTTTCCTCTCCAAAACATATAAGCTATGTTACATGGACTCTTCAAAATAAATCAAATACCCGTGTCGGACACCCGACACTCGGACAAGGGTATGAGATATGTGTCGGATACTTTTCAACGGATACTTCTTATATAATTGTATATAACACTATTATTATATGTACATATTGTTGTATAATTGCTATAAATGTCATTTTGACACTATAAGTTAAATATAATACCATTTTATCTCACATATTAGATTAAAAATATAAAAATATGACATTTTTTTGCCGAGTCCACGTATCCTTAAATTTATGATTTGATGAGTCCGACCTCTAGATACATACCCGCACCCAACACCCGTACCCGAGTCCATGTAACATAGCATATAAGTAGTTATCAGCAAGTCTTTTTGAAACCAAATTTATTCCATGCAAACAACAGGATGATATCATCACATTCTGAAGAGTTATAGTCTACATTTCAGGCATAATCCACTAAATTTCCAAAAAATCCAGAGCAATTTATGCCCCCTATTCTTTAACTACTTGTTGATGGAATTTCTAGTGTGGAAAACTGAATTTGTCAAAATCAAATCAAATCAAATCAAATCAATTCAAATATGAAAGGGGGAAACAAAATGAGAAACATTTACCATAGGTCCAAAACACTAAGGCCTGGTTTGGGATACTCAGAAAAAAGTCAAAAAGCTAAAAAGTTACTAAAAAAGTTAAAAAGTTATCACTATTCACCAAAAAAATAAATAAATAAATAAATAAATTTTACACACAAAATTACAACTCAGTCTAACCAGTTCAAATCCGTGGCTGCGTTTTTTTAGAAAAATTGCAAAGTTGAGGTGCAATTTTAACACACTGCTGTTCGGCCCGTAGGGGCCATCACGAGTCCCGTTTTGATAATCTGAACCGTTCAATATGTAAAACTTGTCGAATACTATACATCTGTCAAAAATCACATTGTTTGGATATCGCTAACTACATGATCCAATCAATTTTGTAAAAACAAATGGATAATGTTATAGTTAACGGTTGAAAAAAAACTAATCTGGTCAGATAGCTATCGATATCCGAACAACGTGATTTTTTACAGGCATATAGTACTCGACGAGATCTACACATTGAACGGTTCAGATTATCAAATGGGACCCGTGATGGCCCCCACGGGCTGAACAACACCGTCTAGTGCAATGCCCGAAAAGTAGGCAACCATTTCTTAGCATCAATTTAGTCTGCGCAGACAGTACGGCCGTACAACTCACAGTCCTAATCTTCTCCTACATACTAATTTATACAATTTTTTAATACACATTTTTCTATAAAAAGTCAAAAAGTTAACCCAGACAACCATCTTTTCTTTCTCAACTTTTTAGTTCAAAAAGTCAAAAAATGCACTTATTTAGGACACCCCAAACAACCCCTAAATATTTTAGATGCAATTAGCCCCAAACTAAGTATAATAAATAATATCCGCTACTATTCCAAATATTATATCAACATAGTTGTGGATTTATAATCCTTGGGAAATTTAAAGTATTTGTTAAGCAACAAGCCCACTTCCCGTGATTATGCATGTAGTGCTAATAGCTAATGTCATTCTTCATAAAATTACCTGGCTGTGGCGGAACGAATTTCTCCAGGTCAACAACCAGCATATTGGGCTGCAAAGATTGTGAAGATTCAAATAAAAAACACTTCATGAGGAAATGCCACGTAAGCCTACATAATTGAATCCTCTATTGCTAATGTCTTGCGCAAATAACAAGAGAATCTCTGAACTGTCCCAGTGGACAAAGGAAAACACTAAAACAATACATTATTGGCCAAGAAAATAAAAAATAGATGATAGGAAGATTTTCTGACCAAATGGAATACCAAAGTCTAGAGAACTTTACCTCAACTAGTGTCTGCTCAAATACAACGGCTAACAACTCATCCTAATCAAGTAGAAAAAAATTATAGAAATACAATTCAAACAGAGAGCGAAACAGAGATCCAAGCAATTATTGCATATCAAATATGAAAGTAACTTACCAGCCATCCAGCAATCCCTGGAAGTTCTGTAACATCAAGCCCATGAGTGAATAAAGGTTTCACAGTCATCTGAAAATATGGTGGCTCAACAAAGCATACCCTCAAACGGCCAAGGAAAGGCCAGTGGCGAAGGAACTTTACCCCAACCAGGACCTAGAAGAGAAAAGGCATTATGGGCATCCCATGGATATGAAGCAGAACTGTCTTTTTAGCAATCAATGGAAAAAGTTGATGATACTAATTTAAAAAATCATTATAAAACCAAAAATAGAGTCTTTACAAATATTAGAGTGAATTTCAGAAAGAATAACAATGAGAATAGATATGATGACATTTAAAGTCATTCTAGGATGATACTTTACATCAGAAGGTAATGACATTTCAGATGTAGTGAAGAAACAAACAAGGGAAAGCAGTATTACAAGGAGCATAACAGATGTGCAATGTAAAAACAGAAATATTAGTACAAGTTCCTTTAGAATCCCCTAAATAAGTCGAGATGAAAACAAAAAGCTACTCAATATGCAGTCTTTCATTAATCCAGTCCATTCTCTTCCTCTTTTAGTACGAAGGATGCTTTTGTGCTAACCCAGTAGTTATCCAGTCCTTTGTCCTCCTGAATATAGTTGGACAGACCTTAATTCAAACAAACAGCTTCTTTTTTTCTTTTTTCTTTTTTGGTGCTCATTTTGTTTTCAATAATCAGCTTCGAAGGGGGAATGTTCGTTCCCTTTTAGAACTTTTTCTTATTAAGTGCGGAAAGTGATATGTACCTTCTTTATAATCTTTTATTAATAAGTTTTTTTTTTTTTTTTAAATCAAAAAAATGTAAAGTGCATGCATTACTTTGGTATGGCTTGTGCTCACTCAAATCTATAGACTAAATCTCTATCTTCAACTGATATTTCATTTTTGAGGGTTTTGGAGGAACCAATGGTGACCAATACCAACCAATGGCCCAATTTAAGAATTCTCGTAATTAGAGATATAAATTACAAGGATGAGTGCACTGTGGCATTACTTTGCTCCTGGAAGATAAGGAGTTCCATTATGCGTAAATACTACTATATTATTCTAATTTGTTAACCACAAGTCTAACAGATATCTTATTACAGTTTTCAACGTTCATATAATATTCAAATTCAATATAGGCTATGAACATATAATACAAATGAAAAAATATACCATGAATACACAGTCTAGACTAAAAATAAGAACACACTAGTTGTTACCTTCCCTTCAACATGCATGCCCAACAGGTGCAACTTCACCCACATTCCGAAACCCAATCTCTTCCTTAGTTTCACAGCAAGTATTGCACTCATATCATCTGCAGTTCGAAAATTCATCCCCAACTCCAAAACCTGCATTTAAAGATTTTCAAAATTCCTTTGGCTAGGGAACGGATATATTATGACCAGAGATAGCTAAGACAGCATTACAAACCAAGTGGTCATCACTAGTGGATTGTTGTAGAACCCTCATTTTCGTGATCATAGGTGGTGATCTTCCCATATACAGATGTTGAACCACAACTTCCTTCTGCAAATATACCAAAATAATTATCAGTTTCATTAATAGGTTGACAATCATAACTAAATCAACAGACTAAGGTGACAAGTTCGTACTTTCACAAGGATAGTTGCAACTTGCTAGTACCCATAAGAATGTTATGAGACTGCTCATGGGATCAATAAAACATGATATTCATGAATCATGGGCATTTCATATGTAGAATACATGTGTTACAGGTAAAATATTACTCAACTTGAATCAAGCTACAAACCAAATTCATGTCAGGGAGTATTACTCATGATGAGTTTAGAAACAAACAAAATATCCACTGGTGGTGAAATCAGCACAAAAATAAAATGAAAAGGGGTCTCCCCCAACGTCTAAGGCAATTAGGACCAGACAAATGCAACAAACAGTGTAGTTGATGGTATTAGGGGAGTAGACACTCCTACCACAGTCCATGGTTTGTACTTCTGCAAGAACCAAGGCATGACAGGGAGGAGGATTTTTTGTGAAACAATCTGTTCCATACAAACAGGCCAAATCTTTTCAACTGTGTGGTTCAACCATCGCACAGTTTCAGAATCAGAGAGCACCTATAAAAAGGCAAAAGGAAATTAAACATTTATACCCATCTATTTTAGCAACAAAGAAAATTTCTGAAGGAATCTAAATATATATATTTTTTGATAAATGAATCTAAATATATGCATATATACACTGTGTTACATGGACTCTTCTATTTCCCCCACAATACCCGTGTCCACCGGATATGACATGGATAAGGGTGTGGGATATGTGTCCGACGCTCGTACCCAATTTAGACACTCAGATCCTTTAATTTGTGACAATACATGAAGAAAAAGAAACTTGCATTTGTTAGTAAAGCAATATTTTTAGGCTCCCACATGAATTAGATATAGAAATTTCATATTTTTTTCTAAATCATATTTAATTTCTAATATATTTCTACATAATTTAAATCATCTCATCCGAGAATATTATATAATATACAATATATATGTGCATATGACGTGTCCCCGTATCCATATCTAATTTTGGATACATACCCCAAGATCCTAAGATTTAAATTTATGAAGGTCTGACGCTTGGATACACACCCGCACCCGACACTCGTACCCGAGTCCATGTAACATAGTATATACATAATTACATACATACAATATAATCAAGCCGAAAAAAGAAGAAAAAAAAAAGATGCAAAGAAGAAATAATGCCCCAAATTGACAACAAAGGGAATATATGAGCAAAAAGAAAAGGCAAATATAATATTAAAGTTCTAAAATCTGAAATTTTCACTATTTCAGACCCAAGAAAAAGACACCCCCCCACCGCCACAGTGAATTTAGCCCAACATAAGTAGGTACTAAGTTCAATAGTTTTTTTGGCCCTAAAACAGCATAAAACAGGATAGTAAAATTCTATTTCCTTTTCTTAACCTCAATTTTCCTCATTCTCATCAACAAAACAGAGAGCAAACCAAAGTGTTGCACAAAATAGGCTACATATATAAGGTTGGTAATTTTGTAAGACAAAATCTAAGTCATTTGTAATGTATTTCGGGCTGGTTGTACGGTTAGTAGGGTAGTTGCAGATATTTGAAGAAGTGTTTGTAATCTAAGTCATATGTAGTGTCACTTGTGTTTTTTTTCTTTTTGCAATTATTGTGCTGATGAATATGATTTAAACTGATAATATTTAAATTAACAAACTTAACGAATTGTCCATAAAATTAATTACACAAACCAATTGAAGGAAAAATCATCAAAATCAAAGAGATCAAAACTTACTCGTCTTTGATTAGAATTTCTTTTCTCTTCGAATCGTAGTTTTCTCCGCAATCGCTTAACATACCGCTTATGAACCTCCAAAAACAGAATCACAAGAGTGAGTTAAGCGAGACATTACGACTCCATGAAATATAATGACTAATTAATTACACACAATAAACACATACACTGATATATATGAATAGGTACATTACTTCACTTACCAGAAAAAGGTAGGTTAGAGAGATAAAGTAGGCGATCGGGTGACAACGATTAAAGGAAGAAAGTAGCCAAAGAAAAAGCAGCACAATGCAGACATGGTGTATAATCGAATCCTCCATTAAAGCCATCTGATTTTTTTCTATTCACTTTCGATTACTTTCAATCAAAACGGTTCTATCTGACTCTAATTACATTAGAAACTGATCAAATGCTTCAAGATCAACCAACCAAACACCGTATCGCCAATTTGCATTTACGATTTGTCGAAGCATATATATATATATATATATTCATGTGCTTGTATATGGAATTTGAATCTGATCTCTGATGAAGACGTGAAACGAATTCGACACGGTTTATAGGGTTCCCGAGGGAAGAACAGTGTCGTACCGACGAAGAGAGGCGTAAGTATCCTCTAGAGTGATGTGGCAGTTCGTCGTGGGTTTTATTTATGGAAAATTATTCAATACTCTCACCTTGTTTGGAATGTTGATTATTTTAATTAGTTATTTAATTTTTTAATTATTTTAATTTGATTAAAATAATTATATTTAGAAAATTAGTGAATTTTTTTTATAGTTAATTTGATGATTGTGAGAAAAAATGTGAAATGATTATAAGTTAAAACATCTATGATGTTTAACCTTTTTTTATATTAAATTTGAGTAAAAAATTTATCTGATATTGCACTTTCCAATGGAAACCGCCAGTTGATCGGAATGACAACTGGGGGATGTTCGACCGGTCGATTGGCTAGTGCAATATTTTCAAATTCTGAAATAAATTTTTGCAAAGAGGTGATCGATCAAGAAGACAATCGGTCGGACATCTCGTTGGTCATTCGATACCTGCATCTCCAATAACTATATACAGTAAATTGCTGAAAGGTACAATCATCCTCAATTTGATTAAAAGTTTCAGATATCCTGCATTTGATAATAATTTGATATAAACGTTGGAACAACAAAAGTTTACTCTTTTCGTCAAATTTTAATTTGATGAAAAAAAATATGAAATGTCGGAGACACTTTCAGATGTAACATTTTGTCTTATTAGTTATTTTAATCTGTTTTATCTTTTAGTGAGCTATTTTAATCCAACACTCCTTCTGTAGCATTGCTAGGTGGTGCTTCAAAGGGGATAAGCTTCCCTCCATACTCCTCTTATATGGCTCAATTCTAAATTTGCACTAATGATCTGAATTATTTACTTTGTAGACATTGTAGAAAAAGTTATTCATGTAAAAAATTAATTTTATCGAATAACTATAAACATATGAATAAATAATATTTTATTTTAAAAAATGAATGGTTTAAGTTTACTATTACATTTGTCATTCATTTTATAAAATAAAATGTGATTTTTCTTTTGTTTATAAATATTTGATGAAACTTATTTTTTGTATGAATGATATTTATTATGAAATTTATGAGATAGACGATTTAAATTATTAATGTTGATTTTGATTTAAGACAAAAAAAAATAAAATATGAAGAGATGAGATTTGAAAACGAGCCTGTCACGCTATACAATAATAATTATCTATCTATCTATCTATCTATCTATCTATCTATACTATTATAAAGTGAACAAGAATTTTGGTGTCCTGCAGCTTTACTCTCCTCATGCCATGCGTTATAAAGTGAACAAGAATTTTGGTGTCCTGCAGCTTTACTCTCCTCATGCCATGCGATGTGACAATATTTTTTTTTTTTAAAAAAAAAAGTTAAACAAAGAGATGGACAACCCATAACCATGGGTTTAAGTACGAGAACTCATACCACTTAAGCTAAGTACACATTATAATATTAATTTCATTATTATTTTTTTTATTCCTACTTATTTAAATTGCACATACATCGTGTGTGCCACCCACTAATTAAAAATAGATATACAATTATGTTTACATTGAGCTAGGACTCCAAATAAATCCTAATCCCGTCTGAGTGGTCTATTAGTTTAGTTCCAATTTTTATGTATTTATGTCTAAAGATAGATCGATCTCAGATCTTGTACTATTATAAAGTGAACACAATTTATGGTGTCATGAAGCTTTACTCTCCTCATGCCATGTGGTAGTATTTTTTATCTATCTATCTATGCTATTATAAAGTGAACACAATTTATTTATTTATTTATATTTATACTATTATAAAGTGAACACAATTTATGGTGTCATGAAGCTTTACTCCCCCTCATGCCATGTGGCAGTATTTTTTATGTTTTTAAAAAAAGTTTTACTCTCCTCATGCCATGTGGCAGTATTTTTTATTTTTTTAAAAAAAGTTAAACAAAGAGATGGGTAAGACTTGAATCCATGACCATGGGTTTAAGAACGGGGACTCATACCACTTAAGCTAAGTACACATTATAATATTAATTTCATTATTTTTTTTTATTCTTACTTATTTAAATTGCACACACATTGTGTGCACCCACTAGTTAATTTAAAAGAGACCACCCATGATATATCTGACTTGTAAGTGAAAAAAAGCAAAGCTCCAAAACATTGAATAATTTCCCATTACTAAGACGATAAGGTATTAGAAGTGGGCTTCAGACCACTCAATAACGTGGGACCATTATATTCATATTGGGACCTACTATATAATTACACTAACAATATCGTGCCAGCTGAATCGGCTGTGTTATATGGAATAATTAATATATATGTTAATGTATTAAATAATATTATATTATTATTATTTATTTTATTTATTATATAAATTATAAATATTTAAAAATTTAAAAATTATATTATATTATCTGTTAATATATTAATTAGTATATTAATTGATATATATATATATATATATATAACATCATTCCAGCTGAATTGATTAAATCTGACATTTGAAGTAATAATAATTAGTAATAATAATTAAAAAACACTTTGGAGATCTAATTTTTGAACTCTAAATGTAGCTCTAATGAGTTAGCAGTGGGCTCCACTCACAGTGATATGATGTTTTGGTCTTGATTTGTTTTTATTTTATTTTTTTTGTTCATTGCCATGTTATTAGTGTTCTATTAGAACACCAAAATTAGTGGTATGAATCATTGCTGAATAATAATTAGTAAGGCACGGTTTAAACAAATAATTAAAATTTAATTTTAAAATTAAATAATAATATAAAATTTGTTTGACATGTATAGGAAAAAATAATTTAGAATTAATTAAATTTTAATAATTTTTATTGAATTTTTTATGGCATTAATTATATGTTTTAGGTTTTTAATAGGAAATAAATGTCATAGTTTAATTGATGGAAATGAAAAAAAGAAAAAAGAAAAAAAAAAGAAAATATAAAAATTGCATTTATGATAAAATAATGGCAAAGTTGGCCCAATTATATATTAAATCATATTGCATAAAACTATAATCTCCTTTGTAACTTTTATGTAAGAATGGATATTAAATCATATTGCATAAAACTATAATCTCCTTTGTAACTTTTATGTAAGAATGGATAATAGTTGAATTGAGTAATTGGAGTTGAACTAAATATAGCATAGAATCTAGTCAAATCAGTCTTTATACTAATTTCGCTCTATCTTAATTATTAAAACATTATTTTATAAGATATTTGATTACCTAATTCAGTAGTTAGGCCTCGTTTGCCAAATGATTTTTTTAGTTAAAAAGTTAAAAAAAATTAAAAAGTCAACAACTTATATTAAAAAATCAAAAATTTTCTTTTCTCTTTATTTTTTGCACATATTTTCTAAAAAAATAAAAAAATCATCCCAAACATATTTAGTTTTTTTTACATTATATTTTAGTTAAAAAACCAAAAAGTTTCTAAAAAAGCTTATTCCCAAACGAGGCCTTAAAACTAAATTTATTAAGGCCTGGTTTGGCATACTCTAAAAAAGCTAAAGAGTCAAAAAGTCACTATCTTATTATCTTATTTAAGTCACATCACCTCTCTATCATATCACTTTAAACCCAACTCATATTTCATAAAAAAATAAAAAGTGCACTTTTTAGAATATTAATAAATTCATTTGATAACTATAAGTGATATCACTTAAAAATTTAAATATCTTAAAATATACACTAAGGGCTGGTTTGGCAACTTTAAAAAAAGTCAAAAAGTTATCAAAAAAGTTAAAAAGTTATCACTATTCACAAAAAAAAATAAAAAAATTAATATAGATAATATTAAAATATAAATCAACTTCACGCTTTTCTAGGGACTGACGTCAAAGCAAAGGCTGAAAGGAAGGGAAAAAAAATTACATGTGTATATTCACTAAATTGGATGGTAAAGTTGGGCTCGTAGGGGCTTACCATAGGTCTTAAAATATACACTAAGGGCTGGTTTGGCAACTTTAAAAAAAGTCAAAAAGTTATCAAAAAAGTTAAAAAGTTATCACTATTCACAAAAAAAAATAAAAAAATTAATATACATAATATTAAAATATAAATCAACTTCACGCTTTTCTAGGAACTGACGTCAAAGCAAAGGCTGAAAGGAAGGGAAAAAAAATTACATGTGTATATTCACTAAATTGGATGGTAAAGTTGGGCCCGTAGGGGCTTACCATAGGTCCCATTTTGATAATCTGAACGTTCAATATGTAGAACTTGTCTAGTACTATAGGCCTGTAAAAAATCACGTCTATCAGATATCGCTAACGACATGATCAAATCAATTTTATATAAAAAATAGATGGTGTTATAGTTAACAGTTGACAAAAAAAATTAATACGATCAAATAGCTATCGATATCCAATCAACATGATTTTTTACAAAAAATATAAAATAACTTACACATTGAACGGTTCTAATTAGAAAAACAGGACCCATGGTGGGCCCCCATGGGCCGAACAACACCATCCAATCAAAGCTCGAAAAGGAGGTAATCTTTTCCCATCTCCTACCCAGCCGATTGCCCCGCCCTGCCTGTATGGATTAATTAATTATCTTCTCCTATATATTTATTTATACAATATTTTAATACACATTTTTTCATAAAAGTCAAAAAATTAACCTAAACATCCCTATTTTTTCCTCAACTTTTTAGTCCAAAAAAATAAAAAGTGCACTTATTTTTTCCTCAACTTTTAATATCATGTAATGGCTTATGTGTGGGTGATTTTCCGACCACACTACCCGCCTAGTAATCAGCTGGAGAGCACCGGCAGAATAGATGGCTTCAGTGAACCTGCAACAGAAAAAAAAGGCTCCGGCGGTGGCTATTCCACCCGGGGGCACTCCGACGATCAAGTCAGTATATCTCTCAAAGACAATCAAGTGCTAAACTTCACAAGCTTGAGTATAAAACTGTGTCCCTTAGACCCACGGGGGTGCCTCTCTTTTATAGTTTACTTAATCCAAGTCCTACTAGAAGTCTGACTTCTATGGACTCCAATTCAATGTTAACTTTGGACTCTTTAAGGGATAA